CTCCCTTCGCGAAATGTAATGATGCGATTAGAAATGAAATGGTGATTGTTTTTTTTTTTATGTGTGACAAATAATTGTGCGGCGGCAACTCGGATCTTTATCGGCCTAATCTGTTGTGTAAATTTGGCAAGGCTGTTCTCTACTCTGAAAGGACTGCTCAGCAAATTTCGTCAGATAAGGACGAACTTCTTTAATCAACGGTGGATTCGAACCTACAGCTCAGGCTATCTCAAAATACGTTAATTGTTTCAGAAATTTTAAAGATTTGCAAACATTGAATATCTCTGGCTAGGTGACTAGAAGACAGGGGCCTGAAGTCTTCTATGTGTTAACATACGCAGTTTGTTTGGCGTTGTTGGCCCATCGTTGAGAGGAACACAGTCGAATTTTGACAGTTATGGTAAAACTAGAAGTGCCATTTTTGAATTTAGCTTTCTTTTACTAACTGTATAATATCTAAGATCATCAGTGACTACCAATGGAAAAAAAAGCGGAAAAAACGAAGAACAAACTTCTCTGTTGAAATTTTCTTTTGTAAATTCCAGTGAATTCATCATAGCATTAGCTGCTGCAAGACGAATGTGATTTGAGGGTTCATCTTTTCGCAATCCATGTACAATGGCTGTTAGAATGAGATTAGCCTGTGATTCTAGCTTTGTCCCAGAAATATCTTGACAAATATAGCCTAATGCCTGAAATCGCAACAATGACAATTATTATTGGGGAAGAACTTTTTGAAAACTCTTCAAGAAATGAAAAAAAAACTTTCTCCCAAAACTTTCTGGGAATGGAATTTTAAATCGGAAATCGAAATCCCCACATCAAGGATATGTAATTCGAAATTCGCCAATCTGAGTCGGTGAAAAAGCCAAATTTAGCTTTTTTTCACCTTCAAACTTCAATTTTAATTACCGATTCTGAGTTCCTGTTTGCACGAGAACAATCCTTTCGCAAACAGAAAATCGTAAAATCGATTTTAAATGATACTGCAAAAGCAGGTTTTCTCTTTCATCTTAATTTCTTGAAGGGGAAAAAAAATTATAAAAATATACCTCCAAGGAAGACTCTCGTAAAACTTCATTGTTACTCGTTATCACATTATTTTTCAAATGATCTATGACATTCGGCCATAACTGAAAATCGCAAAAAATTTTCATGCAAAACAAAAATTCGTTGCAAAATCCAAAATTTTCGTGTGAAACTGAGGAAATGTGGTCGCCAGATTCGAATTTAGATTTTCCAGTATTTCATTTTTTGATTTTCAGATTAAGTTCAAATTTGTACTTAATTGCACCTGTCTAAACTGTTAGTTTCATTATCGAACATACAAGCTACTGCGTTATTAACTAAGTAGTTCAACTACGAACTCAAAAACCGGGCAAAACGAAAGTTATGGTCAACAGAAGTGACTGGAGTAGAAATATCACTGAAAAAAAAGGACTAAATTAAACAAATTTCGAGTAAATTACAACATTTTAGAAAAATTTTAAGGGGTATTACGTAAAAGTTAAAGTCAAAACCCTCTCCGTTTTTTGCTCTCAGTGAGAGGCGAAGACATTCAGAAAATAGCTCAAGCGATAGCAAGTGCCAACAGCAACCACACGTTAGTAAAGACCGCTGGATGGCTCCCTCTTCTGAGAATTGCTTACAAGCAAGCTGATGGCGGGTTTGACTCCTTGGCATATGCAAGTACCAATTTACCATCGAAACGAATCATAAAAAGACCCGTTATTTTATCGGCAGAGTAGAATCTTCGACTTACTGCACGACAACTCAGTGCTATTCCAATACGCCATGCCTGTCGGTGAGGAAAATACGTAATTTTTTTAATATCTGAACGGTGCTATGCACATCAAAGAATTACTCCCAATCATAAAAGCATTTCTTGATCCAATACTTACCTCAGTTCATCTTCAACTTTTCCTTTTATTTCTCCTACAACTTTTCTTTTACTTTTCATCCTGCATTTTACATTTCCATGCATATTAACCAATTTATTTAGTCTCTATCTCACTAAAGTACCTTACAAAACTCTTTCACCACAATCGTTGTATTGACGAGGTCCA